TAGAGGCTTGGCTTGGTGAGGCCTTGGGAAAAGATTGATAAGAGAGAGCGAGGAATGGCAATGAAGTGCTCGCGCACACGCTCAGGAGGGTTGATCCGCTTTGAACTGCGAATAAACCACTTTGAAGTACGGAGTGCGTTTACTCGACATATTTGTGAAGTGACATAAACTCTAATGTAAAAATTGAGAATAATTTTTAAAAGGCTGGCGATACAGCCCATGTTTTTAAAAAGGGTTAGGTATCGAAACAATGGTGATCATGGATACATTTCCAGGTGCCATCCATGTTTTCTGGGAATAAATGACGAAGGTCCGGTATTTTATCTTATACATGTTTCACATGTTTTGTAACATGTCCAAACATGTTATCAGTACGACGTAAAAAAGTAAGAGTGAAGAGGATTCTGTGTTGTCGGCGACACCTCACCCCCACATTCGTCATGGGTTGGAACTACCTTACGTAATGTATCCATCTCAGGTGTCTGATACTAAAACATGTCAAGCATGGAAAACATGGTACGTAAACATGTATTGCAAAACTTAGCATCGAATTACTCTGCGTTTTTGCTGGAGTCACTAAAGTCCACCACACTGCGAAGGAGATCCCACCGCTGGCGTAGACAACCCGTCTTCGAATAATCTCTGGGTGCCTCCTTGTACACGCGGCGCCAGAAAAACAGGCATACGAACAGACCGCAGTTGTCACCGTCGTTCTGGATGGGGTTGTGCACAGCTATTATCTCGTACGGCTCCGTCATGCTCCGGACCACGAGCTCTTGCGCCAACTCTTCCAGCAAGTTATGATAGGCGCGTTTGTCGAGACTGTCGTAGCAGTAAATGGTTTTTTGAAGCTGGTTCACAGCGAGGCATGTCCAATGACTGGCATTGACGTTCAGCGGCATGAACACCCATTCCATGTTCGTAGCTGCTACAAGACTTAACGTCAGTGGTGGGATTCGATGGCCCTTATCTTTTGCCGGTGTTTTAAGCTGCGGTAGAAAAATTGTAGTGCTGGCACCGTACTTGGCCGACAGCGTCGCCGAGAAGGCTTGAATTAAATTGTCGTTGAACCAGCAGCCATCTCGAGCACAGTACAAATGCGTCCAGTCCAAGTGAAAGCCCTGGTCGAATCCCGGAAGGCGCTGACCAGGCCATGTTTCAATCATTCGTTTAGCCAACAAAGCAACTTGGTCATTGTCAAAGAGTATGTCCACCTTACCCATCAGCTATGAGTAGCATTTTAAGCCGTTCGCGCATGCTGCAGAGAAGCTCCACAAAAATTGCATCGCCATCAGCTGGCGTTGTGTAAACACACCCACACCATCTATGTCTGCTACCCAGCATTCTACGCTTGCGTCCATCGGCGTACTGAGATCCATAACTTCACCGTAGGGTGTCCTGCGTTCAATATCTGCTAGCGCTTTCTGTACCATAGCCTCGGGAAGACGGTACGGCACGCTATCTTCAGGAGGGGTTCGCTTCGTGACTGTGATGTTTCTCTCCTTGCGCCCGAAGTGTCGCGTCTCAAAAGTGTTCAAATACGAGCTTAGCTCCATCAGCGACGGCTGACTGCTCTTCAGGAACTCCTCGACATGCACTACGTCGTCTGCTCGCAACGCATTCCGTAACTTTGCTCCCTTGTTGTATTCCTTCCTGTCGGCGTTTCGCTGAGCGTCTTGTGCAGCTCGATTCTTTCGAGGACGGCCCAGTTTTGGCGCTCGTGGATTAAATTGGTTGATTTTAGGCGTGGCTTTTCTTGCTGCTTTCCTCGCGCGTTTCTGTAAGTTCACTTCTGGCTTAGGATCCGCTGACATCGAATCGGCAGTTATTCCTTGGGTCTCGGCAACATGAACACTACTGCCCTTCCCTTCATTGTGAGATTCCGGCTCGGATACAGCGACTTGAGTTGGGAGGAGCTCAGAATCAGATGTACCGGACTGCGTGAGAGGTAGAGCTACGTTTCCTTGTCGCAAATTATCACACCAGCTCTCTAGATGGTCCAGCGCGGCAGTGAACTTAGCGTCAGGTAGGCCAGTGAGCTCCGACGTGTGACGACTGAAGACACTCTGAACGCATTTGTACTTGTTGCGCTCTGTCATCTGTTTCTTGTGAGCGACGTGGTCCCCTTCTGCGTGAATCTGTAGAGGTACATCAGTAGAGGGTAGATCACAGTCCACGGTTCCTACTCGAAGCCATCTACATCATATAAACATTGGATAAACATGATACAACCATGGTTATTAAATTCTTGAAAAACATGGTTAACATGGTGTTAAACATGGCAAGTACCTGGCCGGAATTGAAGCGTACGGAATTGTGAGTAGTGCGGCATGATGTTTTGGATAGATCATCCCATGTCGACAAGGTAGCTTC